AAAAGCTCCCCTTCAGCAGTGAGTTCTGGGTGTCTGTTTAAGTAGCCAAATTCTCCATCATCCGATAATACAATGAGTTTTAGAAAAATATTATTGGGTTTTAAAGGTTTTCATCTATATGAGGTAAACAAGGGATTGTAAGCAAAAATTAAAAACTTAATTTTTACCTCATCTTCAAGTCTGTATGCAATTGTATACACTGTACTATCAATGAGCTCCTCCCAGCTCTTTCCCTCTACCACTCAAAACCATCTGCTGACTGGGGGGCATATCCAATTCAACTTTCTTCTCTTTCTTACCCTTTGTTGTTCACTTTTCCTCTTTAACCTGCTTAAAATTCACGGTCTGAGTCTGGGGGTTGGTCTGTGTGTGTGTGTGTGTCTCTCTGTCTCTGTCTCTCTCTCTCTCTCTGTCTGTCTGTCTGTCTGTCTGTCTGTCTTTCTAACTTGTTAGTCCCTCGTTTGCTTTCCTCTCTCAGCAAAACCACAACTCTGGTTAACACAAACTCTTCCTGTACATCTATGGTAAGACTGAATATGGCTGGAAGCAAAGCACGGACACGCTGACTAACCTTGCTGCATTAGCCGCCTGTCCATTGCTAGGGTGAAATACTCAACATTCACACAACTTAGAAGAAAAAGGCTTTATTTTGGTGCTTGGCTCCAGAAGGATCAGTCCATGGCTAGTGGGCTACAAAGCAGAAACAGGATGGTGGAACAGGAGCAGCAGGAGAGCTGCCCATCTCAAGGCATCCAGGACTGTAAAGACCCTGAGATAAACCCAGAAGTGTTTCTCAATCCAGTCAAGTTAATGATCAAGATGAACTATCACACTCACTCTATGACCATGAGTGCAATACAACCTGATAGCTATAAGACACTGTTTAACTCTCTATTTGTTCTAGATAGCTATTTCTTCCCAGAATTGAAATACCACTGCCTCCATCCCTAAATATATTAATGATTTTGTGTCTTAATCCCCACAACCACACTCACCCAGCATCTGCAGGCAGAACCATGGATCACCCCTGTGCTACCTAGACAGCCAATCCTCTCCCTTGGCCAGCTCATCCCACCCCTCTCGCCCTGCACCTGTGCTCTCTCCTCACCTACATCTTACATTTTCACTGCACTGGCACATGCATGATTGTGTTAGAAACATGCAGATATTTCTGCTTTCTAGATAGGAGCGCATCAGTCCACTGCTCTTTCAGCTGCTGACCCCCAACACCACTTCCTTAGTTATCGTCATGGCCAATCACGGGGGACAGGAAACAAAAACAAAAAACCCCAAAACTATGCTCTGCATCCAGATTCTTTTCTCCTTTTTCCCCACCACTCATCTTAAATGCTCTCATCACAATCACCAATGGCATCCACACTGCAAAGTCCAAAGTTCGAGTCTCATCTCATCCCCCTACGCAGCAGTGGTGAAAGCATCCTCGCGTGCTCTTTTTCCTCCTCCACTGTACTGCCTTCACTTCCTTGATGGTGCCATTCTTGGCAGTCTTTCCTCCATCATGGCTGGTCCCTCTCATTGCCACAGGCCTCTTCCTCTGTAAAATCTTTATACTGTAGTACTCCAGAGACAGATCTGGCTGCCTACTCCTGATCTCACACAGCTTTAAAAACCATACATATGCCAAAGATAGGTTAAGTCATACTTCTAGTTCTACATCCCTCCTCAACTCCAGATGAATGTATTTTATCTGAAGGTAAAACAGATCTCTAGTCAGCAGGCCCACAACAGAATTTCATAAAATTTTCCACCCAGAAGTTGTTTCTCTTGCATTGTGCTATCTCAATTGACTACAATTACATTTGTAGCTGCTCAGGCTAAAGACTTTTGGAGTCAGCTTGGAGCCTCCCTTTCTCAATGCCAGGCATCCAGTCTGTCACCAAACCATATAGTCTGTCTTCAACTGCTTCTCACCCTATCCATTGTCACCACCGTTGCTGGACATGTTTCTCGTCTGAGTTGGTGCGGTATCCCCTTCTCCCTGTGTCAAACCTCGGTCTGCAGTCTATTTTCGACACAGCAACCAGAGTGGTGCTTTTTATACTGAAGTCAAATCAAATAAAGGTTTGGCTCAAAACTCTAAAATGGATCCTCTTTTCTCTCAGAGAAAAAGCCAATGTTCTTGTATTATCCAATTCTTTTCTTCCAAAAAGTATACCTATGATCTCTATCCATCTAGTTATGATCCCCTTCCCCATACATATAGAACTAAAAACTGTTAGTGGCGTTTTGTTAATAAAGCATTTTAGGATATTTGTCAAACACGGATATTTCTCAAAAAGCCAATGTTCTTGTATTATCCAATTCTTTTCCAACTATTCTTCTGGCCTTTTGCATTTTTCCAGCCACCCTTGCTTCCTCATTGTTCCTTAAAGCAAGCAGCCATCTTCTTGTCTTGAGGCTTTTACATCTAACTCTTCCTACCACAATGCTGTGCTCAAAAAGAAATAAAGACAGAAAAAGACTTCCCAAAGTATTCTGACTACACGAGAAGCATCAGCATCACCTGAGAGCTTGTAGAACTGAAACTTCTCAAGCTTCACCCAGATTCGCTTTGGCAGGACTGCAAAGATGGCATCCAGCACCTGGTGGGCTTCACTGTTTTTTTTTCTTGTGGTGCTGGCAATTAAACCCAAGCCCTTCCATGTGCTAGGCAAGTGTTCTACCGCTCAGCCACACCCAAGAGCCAGCAAATCACACTCTAAGCAGCCATACAGGGGTGTCGCTGTTGCACACTAGAGCTGAGAAGCTCTGCTCTAGATATTTGCATAGCAGCTTCCTCACTTCCTTTGAATCATTCCTCACATGTCACTTTCTAGGTAAGGCCTGTGACAACCACCCTGTTCATATTGCACCCCTCATTCCTTTCCCCAGCACCCCACCCTTTCCTGCACCCTGCTTTCCTTTTGCTGGGTTGCACCACCCATAGAATGCTATGAAGCTTACTTCAGTACAGTCTTATTTGTCTCACTCACTAGACTAAAAATTTTGTGAAAGTAGTCATTATTATGTTTTGTTCAGTGATAATACACAAGTGTCTCAAACTCTGATGCAATACAAATACTTCGCAACTATCTACTGAATTGAAGTTACACTCAACTAGTACGGCCAAAGGGGGACAATCAGACATGCCAAGCAAGCCCAAGCAGCAGGCAGAAAGGCTTCTGATAGTTGGGACTTGGGAACCCAGGTATATAATTAATAAGGTCACTTCCTCTTGCTGAAGGGGCATTTAAGTGAAATGCATCTATATATGAACACCAGAGCTGGAAATACTTTATAGGATGCAGGAACTTGCTTTCAACCAAGGATGCCCAGGAGCACTTCAGGCTACTGCACTGGTAGAAGCCGGAAGGGGCCTCCAGCATGGTTCTACCTCTGTCTAGGAAATAGCTGGAGCTCCTGGACAGAGCTCAAGGCTGAGGTAGCTGCCCTGTGCTGCCTACGTGTACCTTCGCTGCAGATGAGATGCATGCAATGGCCTTTGCCTTTCTACATGAGTTTGAAGAGCATCCCAAAGAAAAGCAAGATGACTTGGGATGGAAAAAAGATACTTGCTAAGTGCTAGAGTGCAAAGTTCACCACACGTGGCCCAAGGCGAATGCCCGCATCCTGTCACCATCAAAATAAAGCAGCCCTGCAAGCTAATGTGCAATCAAACACAGAAACTCTGCAATGACATTTCTTCTACAGATTAATAAATCTATGTTCTTTGCATAACCAAAGATATACAATTTGAATGATCCTTTATTCTTAGGAATAATTCCAAGATACATAAGAGTAATAAACCAGAACATTTTGCAATCTCAACACAATGTGTTTCCTTGAGAACATTTAATGTTGGCTCCTTTGTTGCCTTTAAAATGATCTTGTAGTTGTCTCTTAAATAGACGAATATAAGCAGAAGTACATAATGAAGGAAGTGAAGCAAAGAACCTCTTGAATTTCTAGCATGTAAGTGATAATTACATTAATATCATTCTATACTTCTGGGTCTGAACAGATTTATTACAGTAGAATAATAAAGACCACCAAGAGAAATCGCACAGGGACTGTTGCCCCAGCACTACACAGTGCCTTAGAACCTTGAGGCTTATTTGTATTTGCTTGGAGTAAGTACCTAAAGGCAAATTAAATACCAGGCTGAGGCTTTGATTTGAAATCCCAGAAAGAGCTTCTAAGAATAGCATGGCTTTTTGTAACAATAGATTTTCTGAGGAAGTACACTATTCCCTAATGAACAGGATCTGGCATTGGTTCAGATGCTAAAATTTGACCAATGCTAGGAGCATGCTGATCAGTTTGGATGTCTTTTAATAAAAGAAACATGAAATCAGCTGTGCCTTGGCAGGACATACCCCAAACCATCATAAGAGCTGTCATCTTGGCTCACAGATACGATCCCTACCACGCCACAACTGCGCAAGTTCCCACTGATACCACCGACAAAGCTGGCAAGGAGACAGAGACGTAATCCAAAAGCAGTCAAGTTGGATTCTACTTTGTTGAAGTCATTTGAAAAACAAACCACCTTGCCTGTCCTCCCAGACCCCGCACACAGATTCTACAGGCTTGATAGGAAGCCAAGTGCAGCTAATCAAGACATACATTTCTCAGCAAATAGATAATAGGGCAGAAAAGCTACAATTACAAATAGGAAAAGGCCAAACCTTTCAAAGCAATGACACAATCAAATGCGCTAAATGTGACCTAGTAACCCTGCTCAAAGTGGACTTGGAATCATTCAGGTGGAGTTTGTGAAATGTTTTAACTGTCATGGTTCAGATGCCAATGTAATAGAGTTTTAGTCCACTGACAATATTAAAGTTTACATATTCAGGGGCTGGGGAGATGGCTCAGTAGAATAAGTGCTTCCCTGGCAAGCACAAGGGCCTGAGTTCAATCTCTGATTCCACCAAAAAAATAAAATAAAATAAAAAGTAAAGTTTACATATTCATTAATAAATAGCAGTCTGCGTTACCCTCATAAATGCCTGATGGGTCCGACAGTTGACTCTTCCGCTTGATACTTGTATACGTCCTGTGATCACGTCAGAAGTCCCATTAGAGGAAAAGTAAAATCTGGACGGTGAGTCAGTCTTTCTGCTCACATCCAAACTCATGTTGTAAAACAAGACTGCAAAACATGGAGATGTTGCAATTAACAGAAGTCGCCCTCTAGATGCATTTGACTTGATAATTGTCATGTAAAACACTATAAAAACCTAACTTCTGTTTGTTGGCAAGCTTTTGAAAAACGAACCTGAAGTGTGAGAAGAGCTCAAAATATAAATTTAGAAAATTATTTTTATAAGTAAGATGTATGAAATCTCTAGGTTTCTATTATTAACAATATTCATGAAGGGCTGGCGAGCTAGCTCAGTGGACTAAGCACCTGCTTTGCAAGCACAGGGGCCAGGGTTCCTTCCCTGCTCCCCATGCTGTACAGGCCCTGCCCCCAGGGTGCGCTGAGCCTGGGACCGAGTCCAGGTATGATGGCACACCACTATAATCCCAGTACTGGGGAGGCTGAAAACAGGAGGATCACTACAAGTCTGAGCTGTGTAATGAGACCCTGTACCAAATATATAAAAATGAAAAAAAAAGATTAAAAAAAAATTCACACATTTAATTACTTGCTTAATCCTTTTATATATAAAACCTTCAAAGCCTACGATATCAAAATGTGTATTAACCATAGCAGTTTATTTTACTTTATTTTTTTGTGTATATATGTGTAGAGATAGCTATTCATTTACATATTTTATTTTATTTTATTTTTTTATTTATGGCAAAAATTCTTTTTTTTAGTAATTTTGTTGAGAAACAAATAGCAATGAGATGGTTTCAAAACCAATTACTAGCACAGTTTCAATGATTAATACATTGCATATTGTTGTCTTCTTAGTGGTTATTCATAGTAAAAGTTGTAGACATGATATCTTGTCCACAAACACTCTTAGAACAAATCATTCTATTCATTGAATTAAGAGAAAGTAGCTATATATCTATCCTAACTGTTTTGAATATACAGATACAAAATGGTCCTTCATTTGTATACTTTTTGTTTAGTTTTGTCAGTGAAGGGTATTCCATTGTCATTTAAATATTGTAGGTGCCTGAATTCAGCAAAATAAGCCAATATAGTCCAGTAGTCCACAATAGTAGTGGGTTTTCCATAACACTGGCAATGTCAGAAGTTGTTGACTTGAGCCTTTCATAGCTCAGCATATTAATATGGCTTTACATTTTATACCTCATTTTTATACTCTTCTCCTGGATGGTTAAGACCAAGATGAAGCAAGACCTATATAACAAGAACTGTAACTTTTGTATCTGCCAAGGTCAATCAAATCCCCTCAGGATTTACTCTGAAACCCTGTACCGCAGTTTGTAGATCCTTTGTCAGTGGTGAACCATAGCAGTTTTGAAAAAGGTTTCCAATTACTTTGGAGTTGTTGTGCATACTAACTTATTGTATACAGGTAGAGTTTTGTATTTGAATATCACTTGGAATCTATTTTGTGTGGTTAGATGAATAACTTCATGTATCATTAGGTTTATTATTAGGTTCAAATTATTACTGATACATTTCCATTTCTGATTTGAAGGATTGCTATTTTAAATATTTTTATATATAAAGTGAATACACAGTTCATAAATCACATGTAGTTTACATGAATTTTTCTTTTTAAACCCTACTTTCTTTATTATTTGTCCTCTATAATTCTGTTGTAATTTGACCTTTCAATTTGTACAATTTTTAAAAATTGTCCCCATTTTGGTTTGGGAGGGTTTATTTCGGAGCTGATTTTATAAATATTCACCTGTTAAACAAGATCTCTGAGCAAAAACAAAAAGAAAAATTTAAAACAATGAAAAACTTTTAAATACCAAGAAAGTAAGAGCCATTTCCTAAACCTCACTGAGTTCTTTAAAAAACCAGCTAAACCTAATAGTCTTCTGACACTCATTACACAGGAGCAATAGTTCATAAGAGATATTTTAAAGTCTTATATAATTCCTGCAATATGTTTGAAAAGTAACATTCTTCTGAAAAGATTTTGGCTATTTCAAGGAAGCATAACCATTAAACCTATATTAGTCTTACACATTTCAAACAAATCTTTTAGTCATCCTTTCATTTAGGAAATAGTAAAGTCTCAATCAATTGGCTTCAAGTTTATGATAACTGAGATTTAGTACCTTAGAAGAGGTGGGTGTAAAGGCAGAGGGAGCTGAGGAGACAGAGAGAGACAGAGACAGAGACAGGGAGAGGGAGAGGGAGAGGGAGAGGGAGAGGGAGAGGGAGAGGGAGGGAGACGGAGAGATGGATGGGGGAGGGGGGGGAGACAGACAGAGACAGACAGAGACACACACAGAGACAGACAGAGAGAGAGAGACAGAGATAGAGACAGAGACACACACAGAGAGACAGAGAGAGACAGAGACAGAGACAGAGAGAGAGACAGAGACAGAATTTAATTGTAACAGCCATTTACAAATTTATTATCCTAACTCAGCTCAGACAGAGTAAATGAAAAAGGAGTGAACAGAAACCTACTCTTCATAAGAAGCAAAATGTCCTGGTTTCAGTAAATATGCTTGCCATGAGAATTATTTTTCCCTAGAAGTCATTTTATAACAATTGTAAAGCATGGTTCTATACCAAAGGTGGTGATTATTTGAGTTATGCATATTTACTTTCAATCATGTTTTAAAATATCTGGTACAATGGAATTGGTAGCTTTGAAGAGCACCAATTTCTCACAAGGAAAACAGCCCTCTCAATTCGATGTGCATCTTTCAGGCAATCCATCTGCTGACAGTGTTAAGGTGGAATCACTCTGGGACCATGGTCCCGAGGGGCCTGTTCTCTAATCAGCGGGAAAAGCCTTTTATTATTGCAGTTCTGCTATGACTTTTCCAGATCTTTCTTAAGAATTAGTTCTATAAAGTAGAGGTACCAGGCTCATTCTGTACATAGCACTATGAGCTCATTCAGACCGAGACATCTATTGCATATCCATCATCTGGTTCAATAAATACTTGCCACCCTTCATGATGTTGGATGACATCAGCCTGCAGGGTCACTAGTACAATTGTCAGAGGTCTTGTGGGCTTCATGAATTTTATGAATTATTAATATCCCAATCATGAAAGCAGGTATATTTCTAACCATGGACTAGTTCCATTAGTAGTTATTCTGATACTACTTTAAACATAACAGAATTAGGAACAGTGATCTGCTGGCAAATAAATGTAATACTTAAAGAAGTCACAAAACTATAATTTAACTAGAATTTTGCATAGCCCATAGCCATGCTGCTTTCTCCAGACTATGAAGAGCTGCCTGCCCATATGCAGAGAAGTGGGTACAGTTCTCATGAGCTCCTGGGGCAGCAAATTCATACATTTACACATATGCATAACATATATGTGTGCATATACATACACACACATACATATGACATCTTAAGAGATTGCATCTAATTTTTATGTCTACAAATTATATGGAAAATACGTATCTCAAACATTGAAATTAAGGTCTATATTCAATACAAGCTTCTTTGATTATTCAAATAGGATAGTAGGATAGAATATATTTGAAAAGAAATCTCCTTCTCATGTCTTTCTGACAACTCCAGCCCCAGGCAGTAAAGAGCGCAGTTGGGCTGGAGATACATAGCTGAATAGTGGAGCACTTGCCCAGCACCAATGAAACCCTGACTTTGAGCCTCAGGATTGCAAAACCATGAATAGTGAAATGTTTAAAATGAAGAGGTTGGTAAAGCAGAGCGTCTGTGGCATCACTCTTCCTAAGGATTTTGCAGATTAAACTCAAGGGCTTTACTTTAACATAGCAAGTGATAGGGTCGTTTTGCATCATGCCATAACCTCTAAACAACTATCCAAGTGGGCCCTACTCATTGCTTAGAACAACTTGCCAACCTGGCAGGAGGGAAAGAAAGAAAAATGTTGCTCTCTCCTTCTCTAGGAGACTTCCATGAAGACAAAAGGTGCGAGCCCTAAAGATGCCCGTAAGATGCCCAAGTGGAGCACACCCTTGGCCAGGCACTAATTCCACAGAGCACACTTACCAATATAACCTGGGACCTCTTTGCCTTTATATGAGAAACAGAGAGTTAGATCCATGCACACAGAGGGCAATCCATTCTCAGTGCAGTCAAATTTCGTTCTGTTTACGGACTCAGGGTTGCTTAACGATGCTTCAACAATTACTACTGGTCTTGTCCTAAGAAGGAAATAAAATTAGCCTTAATAATTGCAGAATCATTTCTCCTTAAGAAGATAATTGTATCTGTTTTTCTGGTTTCTATTGACTAATTTTATTGATTTTCTTTATTAGTATTATGTACATAATACTCAATTACATTTATTTGGACAGATCAAGAAAAATTTTTGTCTAAATGTTTAAAAACATTGACTTTATTTGATAATTTAATTATATCTACACAAGGTGTTCACACTGAAAGACATCCTAAAGTTCAAAAATGAAACTTCAGAACGATCCTCTTCAAAAAAGTCCCATGAAGACGCTACCACTGCTGTTAGAAACACCTCCCATCATTTACAATTAAGTCTATTTGTCATTAATCAGTGAGATGTATCAAGCTTACCGCAGCAACACAGCAGACTCGGACCGAAAAGCACCAACTGCTACATCTGGATGGGAAAAGGCAACTCACGTTAATGATCATCATTAGTCAAAGAGAACGACTTTCCAGACAGAAATGCTAAAACTGTGTATTACCTTTTGGCTATATCAAAATGGTATTTACCAAAAATTAATTAGAAAAGACATGCTAGCATCGTAAGATTCATTCCACATTCATCTGATTTAATGCTTAGGCAAGAGCACTCATTCCTCCCTAATATTCCATTAATAAACTTCATGATATAAACTCAAGATCTTCAGATCAGCCTGCTAAAACAAAATTTGGTTTATGAACTTCATATATTAACCCAAGAATGTGTTTGAAAAAAAAATTTTCCTTCCTTCTCAGCATGATGTCTGATTGATTTTCATGGGTGCTTTCATGTTTTCCAAAATAACAATTAAGTAACAATGTCACACTGAAAAATGACTTGATTATTCCTGCCCTGTCATTAAGAAAGTTTTAAAAATGCAGGGTGAAATGCATCAGTAAGTTGAAGCCTTCCATGCCCGTTATAGGTGTTCACAATAAAGCAGCATTCGCCAACGAGTTTATTCTAATTTATGAAATGAAGTAAATTTTATACTCACCTACGTATCCATTATTATCCGCATCAATTTGTCCTGATATAGACTGCCCGAACATACTTAATGATTCACTGATTTGAAGACCTCCAATTCTCTGAAAATAAGATAAATTGAGTGGGAAGCAGTTTTTGAACATCTAATATCCCAGAGAAACAATGGCTTCGTATACAATGATCCTTCCCCCTTGGCATGCCTTGGCCTATTTACTGAAAAATACACTTCCATTTGAAATGGGCAGTTACATTTATTTTGTGACTTAATTTTTTTTGAGAAGAGAAAATTACATTGAACAGATTTTCCCAAGTAGTTCTCTCTTTTAGAATCCGCATGCAGTTCCTTAACCAGCAGAAATCACTAAAGTTATTTGGAAAATGAGATGCTTATAGTCACTCAGCGGAGTCTACTATTTGGATTTCTGAAAGCCTATCCATTGAGCCTCACTGCTCCCCCAAACTTAAGAGCAGTCCGGGTCAGCCGTCTGCTTCCTGTTCATGCCTAATTTCATGTCCAAATACTGATTTATGCTGTCCATTTATGTTATCTGTATTATGAAAAAAATCCGTTTTTGAACCAGACAAGTATGTAACTTTCATGTTAAATATACTGAACAACATTGTGATTTTTGCCTAATCAAAAATAACAGTACTGTTTTCATAAAAAATATTTTTTAGAAAAATTCTCTGCATTGAAATGTGCATTAAAATGCTTTTTTTTTTCTTTAATTTATTAGATACAAGGTCTCTGTGCATGGAAATGCTTTGAGTTTTCGAACTATAAAAGTGAAGGCAGAGTTTAACTCTAGTAAAATGCTGTCATCTTACTCTTCCACACTGAAAGAAGCATGGTATGTCATGTGTATATTTGATCTCCCTGTGCAGTTTTTTTTTGTTGTTGTTGTTTTTTTTTTGCGGAACCAGGGATCGAACTCAGGCCCTTGCGCTTGCCAGGGAAGAGCTGATTCCACTGAGCCATCTCCCCAGCCCCCGCAGTCATTATTAATACAAGGCTGTAGCCACAGGGCAAGACACAGCTAAGCCAACACAGAAGGGCCTATTTGCAATAACATGGATACTGGCTCAAGAGCACAAATTTGATGAAATATATAATATAGAGAAAAGTCTTTACCAGGCTAAAATTGAGATAAAATGGAAGTAAAAATTTATGAAAAAAGTTGTAGGGCTGAGGGAATAGCTTAGCAGTTTAAGCACCTGCCTGGCAAGCGCAAGGACCTGAGTTCTATCCCCACTACCACATGCTGTGCCGACCCCAAAGCCGTACATAGTGATGCATGCCTGTAATCCCAATCCCAGTGCTGGGGAGGCTGAGACAGGAGGATTGCAATGAGCTGAACTGTGTAGTGAGACCCTCTATCTAATAAAGAAAGAAAGAAAAAAGTTTTAAAGTTATCAGTTCCTTAAAATAAGACCATTAGCCAGTATTATAAAAAACACACAAAATAAAATGTTACATTTTTGAAAAAGCAATAAGAAATAAGAAAAATAAGTCCACTGGAGACATTCAGGGTGCTTCATCACCAGTGATTCAGCAGTGAATATCATGGGGTTTTTGCCTTTTTTTTTTTTTTTTTTTTTTTTTTTTTATCAAACTCTTTTTTTTTTTTTTTTTTTGTATCAGGAATCAAACTCAGGACATTGTGCCTTCCAGGCAGGTGCTATGCTGCTGAGCTATACCCCTGGCACAATGCTCTGTGGTATCTTACCTGGGAGAAAGTTGAGGAGATGCCATCCACCCGACCATTGTAAATGTAAATGGCGCCTCGCAGGTCATCCTCTTGTGGAGCTCCAATAGCAACATCTAGTTGAGGAATCAAGGAAAGAAAAAATACATTCTTGTTACAGGGAATGAACTTGAATTCTAACCTTCATAGTCTGTCACTCATGTGTGTTCCTTTATATAGAAAAACACTCTTCTTGGGGTCGGGCAGATGGCTCAGCAGATTAAAGCACCTTCTTAGGCAGACGCAGGGACTGGGGTTCAGTTCCCAGTATGCCATGCTGGTCCCACCTGTGGGGCGTGCTGAGACTGCGACTGGGCATGGTGGCACACGCCTGTAATCCCAGCACTTGGGAGGCTGCAAACAGGAGGATCACTACGAGTGCCATCTGTATAGTGAGACCCTATTGAACCTGTACTAAATACATAAAAAAAGAAACACTTTTTTGAGAAGAAAATAAAAACACATCTTCAGGGACAAGACTGCAGAGGATCCTGTGCATGGAGGAAGGGTTAGGTCACCAGCCAGACCACTAGCATCTGCCCCCAGCCGCACTGCGTACAGCTGTGTCTGAAGGACCTGCTTCTTAGCCTCCCTTCCATGATGGGATCATTATAAGGTCCTTGCTCAGGACAGAAGTGTGTACTTCATGTAAAGGGTTTGGAAGAGGGCTGGGCGTATAAGAAGTTATCACCTATGAATGTTGTAACTACTATCGCCTCGAATTTGAATTTGCAAAATGATGTTTAAATTAATTCATGCCCCTATGAAAGTGATTAAGGTATACATTAGAGATTTCTATACATATAAACAGAGGCTTTTAGAAAATGGACCTGTGTTCTACAATAATGATGCAGCACTCTTACGGATTTATTGAAATTCCCATTAGATTATGACACCAAGAGAAAAAAGGAGATCAATTCATATAAGAACAGCCAAGAGTAAGCATAAATGATGGTTGCTTCACTATCAATTACATAGAATTGAGGAGAAAAGTATTCTACCTTGTCAAAAGCGTTTCATTATTTTATTGTGGATGGTATCTACCTGAATATACTAATTTCTATGTAATGCCTTAAATTATTTTGAGTATACACACTTTGTTTTCATGATATTGTTTATAATCTATCAAATTTAAAAACCCTTAAACAACCGTAACGACAATTTTTAACTGCTAGGCCAATGGAAATAACATCTTTCATATATAACTTCATTAACGTCATAAAGACCTATAAATGTAGAAGTGTTTCTGTGTTCATCTAAAAAGAAATACCATTAGGCACACTAAGGCTAGCCTCTTTTAACTTGTGTAACCATTTTAAAATTTTATATATAAATCTCATATACTAATTCTTATATACAAATTTTATCTATTGCCTTGTTCACTTCTGGATAACTCCTGAGAGCCTACTATATTCCAGGCAATTCAGGGCAATCCCAGAAAAAGGAGCTCACAGTCTTCAGGGAAGAAGAGTAGGGAAAAAGACAACAACAACATAGCAGAGCCAAAGGAAGGGATGAACACTAGGAAAGGCGCCTCATGGAAGTGGACACTTAAGAGAGTACAAAGCATGGATGTCTCCTAGCCAAATAAGAAAGGCAAACTGAAGCTTGATTAAAAGAAAAGACTATGGAAAGATAGGAGAGTCCAAGGGAACATGTGACATATGGCAAGTAGTATAGGGGAGGTAGAGCCAGATTAGTGCAAAATAGACCCAGGAACACAGAAGGAGGATTGGAAGAAAAAGAGGAGGAGGAAAGAGGTGATAGTTGTGATGAAGCATCTTACAACCCCTGAAGAGAAAACCACTTAGCAATTTTATTAGTGCTGAGTTTCCACTTCTGCCATGTTCTAATCCCTCATAACTAAAACTCTACATTTTGATTCTTAATGACAATACATATAAAAGTAATGACGCTGGGTGACACTGGTTCTTTTAGTATCGGTTATTAGCAGTGGTCATCTAAATTAAAGCAAATATCTAGAAATGATAGAGATGTTTCAGCCTGACAGAGAAACCCTTGCCTTTAATCCAACACTTAGGAGGCTGAGGCAGAGCAGGTTGAAAATTTAAGCCCAGACTAGGTAATTTAGCAACTTGAAGACCCTGTCTCAAAAAAAAAATAAATAAATAAAAATAAAAATAGAGGCTGCAGATGTAGCTCAGTACAAGACACCAGGCCTTGATCCCCAGTACTGCAAATGGATGGAAGGCAGGAGGAAAGGAGAAAGATACATAAGATAAAAATAGTAAGATGAGTATTTTTGGCTACAAGTTTTTTTAGCTCACTGAAAAGAACAGTTAGTACTTACGTTTTCTGACCAGTTTTGCACGCCTATCTCTGGTAACCTAAGCAACTACTTTGATGATAACAATCAGCTTCATTTTCTTTTTTAAAGAACCAAATTTCTTTCCATGCAGAAGACACTTGGACATATTCAATCTTTGGCTAATATAGACCAACATTCTTTGCTTCCTAGAATTACACTGACATAATAAACTAGCTGTCATAGGAATGAAGACAACACATTTGGTATATCTGACTAAAATAAGAAATTTTTCCATTTGCCTGCAATTCAATTTCTCAGTTTGGGACATAATACACAGAAGAGTGAGATGTTTAAAAATCATTTTTATTTTGAATCTAAACATTTTATTTATCTCATTCAATTGTCATAAATCATAACAATTACTAGTATAAACACAACCACCACCTATTCAATGTAGACAATGCATCTTGGGCCAGGAGCTTTGCACATATTTATATGTGTAACTCTTACAACTGCCTCAAGTACAGTCAGAGCCTGGAACTCATTTGAAATGCATCTGAACTTGGTGACTTGGAACCCAACATATTCTGATGAGGAAATCTTGTCCTAGTACTTGCCACTTGGTACTAAAAGCTACGAACTAGAAGCTGTCAGCGACGATTGCTTCATGACTTTGTTACATGCTCCAGCCAAGATAATGTGCTTTGCTATTCCTCACTTTGGGTGCTTTTCATGCTTCCTGTAACCAATTAACAATGAGTACCAAGCTACCACTAATCTGTATTTTAACCCCCACTTTACAGATGAGAAAACTGAGGCAGCAAGCATAACTGGCTCAAAGCCAAGGTCAGGATGTGGAGCAGCAGGGGTTTAAACCCAGGTCAGGCCCTAGAGCCTGCACATTCCACCTCTACAGTCATCTAGAACATGAGTCAGGCCCAATATCACTGTGTGAGATCCTGATCCTGGCACGTGTCTGAGCAGCATGCATCGGATGATGTGATGAGAACTCATAAAATAATAGGGCACCTTACAATTAGAGAACATCACTACGGCATGGTTCTGCTTTTAAAATACTAACACATGTAGTTTAGAAGTCAAACAGTGAGTCGGGAGGTGAAGAAAGAGAAGCTCAAGAAACATACAAGGGATGATCATAACCAAGCGCACATCTAAACTTAAAATGCACGATGGTAAAGCAGACATCGCCAGTAATCCCCCCCAAGATATGCTCTTGGCTTTGAATGCACAGAGCTCCTCCTCCTCGCACTTCCCGAAGCACTTCTACAAGTGCTCCTTCATGTCCTTACTGGGTGTGATAAAAATTGGCTCCTAGCCCCAGATGCGCTGTCTACATTAAATAGGCCATGATGATGCTCATGTTAGTAATTATTATGATTTATACCAATAAAAATATAAAATAAAAAATATGATGAATGCTGCTGCCAAGTGTAACCCAGCAAAGAGGCACGATTGCACAAATATTATGTCGTGTTTTATCCACTTCACTCACTGTTGTGACACAGAATGACTTCTGACTTTTCCTCAGAGCCAACATAAAAAGGTAAAGGTTTTGAATCAAATCAGTTTGAGGCACCCATGACAGCACCCTTAAAAACACACATTAAAGAGAACTTTAAGAATTGCTTCCAGAAGTGGCCAGAATGACAGGATGAGTGTTTTCTAAGTGAGAAAGAATATTTTGGGGGAGTTTTGTGGCATTCTATCATTTGCTGTAATGTGTTTTTATTTTTTAAACAACACAATAGTAACATAAAAGAAAAAAATTAGAAATTATAATTTTAAAAAATTAAACATTTGCTGCATCTTTCAGTCACACCTCATAAGTTGTCTTACAAGATTCATTCTGTTCATCAAATTGATAAAACAACCAATTAAGGTGGGCCCAACAAGTAAAATGAAGGGGCCCCCCAACCAAGTAATTTAAAAACTTCCTAAAACTTGAAGAAAATTTTTTTTAATGTATGAATGACATTTTCTTTTGTTTTCAATATTTTTATTGAGAAGCAAATAGCAATGAGACAATTTCACAACTGATTACTAGTACATTTTCAATAATTAATACATTGCATATTGTTGTCTTGGTGGTTATTCATTGTACAAGATGCAGACCTGCTATCCTGTCTCAAACACTATTTGAACAAACCTCTCTATTCATTGAATTAAGAGAAGGGAGCTGTATTTCTATCCTAACTATTTTGCGTATACAGATACAAAATGGTTGTTCATTTGTATCCCCCCTTTTTGGTTAGTTTTGTCAGAGAAGGTCATTCCATTGTCATTCAAATACTGTAGATGCAGGAAATCGGCAAAATATCCCAATATAGGCCAACAGTTCATAATAGTAGTGGGTTTTCCATAAGACTGTCAATGTCCAAAGTTGTTGACTTGAGCCTTTTACAGCTCAGCATATTAATATGGCTTTACTTTTTATACTTAATTTTTAAACTTTTATGCTGGATGGTTGAGACCAAGAAAGAGAAAGACCTATATAACAAGAAATGTACCTTTTGTATCTGCAAGGTCAGTCAAATCTCCTCAGGATTTATCCTGAAACCCTTTACCACAGTTTGTAGATCCTTTGTCAGTGTCAGCCATGTGGATGAGTTATGGCCATTGCTTGACCAATTTGCTCTGTGAAAGCTTGAGAGAATGTTTCCTCTTCATGTTACTCTCCTTAGGCACACACTACATCCTCAACCACTTTCCTCTGTGGCCTTGATAAGATTTTTATACTGGGAAGTTGAATTGATTGGACATCTTGTTAAAAACTGACTCACTTTGTTCTTCTAGTCTGACCTTTTAATTTTGTTTTTTATAGAACTAGGGATTGAACTCAGGACCTTCAGCTTGATCTTTACTTTTTAACAGTAAAAATATGTATACAACAAATGCCAAGGTAACTTAGGATTGTTATGGAATACACCACAAAGTTTTGTATACTAAAGGAACAGTAAATATGATTTCAATCCCATACTGGAGAAGGAAGTCAAAATGAACAGGTACTGTTTCTACTCCCAGTCTACATAGTCCTGGGATCCCATGAAAACTTTGAATCTTCATCCATCTAGCCACCCCACCACCAAATAGATTGAGGCAGAACACAGGAGAAATAATAGGGAGACACATTAAAAAATAACACGAAGATGCCTCCTGCCTCACCCAGGTGGACACAGTCAAGTGGAATTAAGACTACTGAAGAACTAGAACACTTTGACTCTACTTCCAAATCGCCATGGGCTAGCTAAAATGGGAAATGTAGAAAATCCCTAGTCCTGGGCCAACCAGAAATGAAAATGAAAAAAGAGGACAAACTAGGAAAGATATATGGTATTATACACATTCATTAATGTGTGAATGAGGCCACTCAATGTAGATATGTTATGAATTATAAATAGGATTCTAAAGGAAACTATAAATAGTATAAAATATGAAGTATTAAAACATCATTTGAAGAATAACCTTTAAAATATAAAAGCATGACCTTTAGAAGCTCTGAATGCCAAAGCACTCAGAACAAGAAGTAGGATCTGATACTCCAGTTTTCATACAGAAGCTGAAGGACTACACAGTACCCCAAAGGTCACCTCTGAAGTCCTCCTCCTAAGTCCCGTGGGTAGGATGCTTTCACTCTGTCCTCACACCCCTCTCAGAAGGCTGGGGAGGTTCCCAGGAACTGGAATCATTTTAGTGAGGGAGCTTGCCTGCTGTCCATGACAGCTTCTCAGCTCTTTAAAAGAATCCAGTTACCAGACAGGTTTGGCCAAGAACGCGAGTATGCCCACAACCCAAGTGCTGACGTCAGCACAGAGAGGACCACAAATTCGAGCCCAGCATGGATTATCCACCTAGCAAGATGCATCATTTGCATTCTTTGTGGCACACACTCTGTCCCTCATAAGCTACATCTGACAAAAAAAAAAAAAAAAACTCAGTAAATATCTCAGGTCACTACTTGTAACAATAACGATAATGAAATTTCACAAATGTTTACCTATATAAGGTCATGCATGATCACAATAACCAAAAAAATCTACATATTTATTTTCTCTTTCATTTTGAGTTGGTAAAAAAAAATCCAGAAATGACAGTAGTTGAATACCAAATTACACTATGTTTTTCATTTTAGAAGGTTTATTGGAAGCAAGTATTTGGTACTGTCTTTTCTGTAGAACACCATATCTTCTACATTTGAAGCTGACTAAAAGTTTTAAAGAAGACTCAAAGGTAGCAAGAACTTTTTTTTTTTATTTTTATTTGAGAGAGAGAGAGAGAGAGAGAGAGAGAGAGAGAGAGAGAGAGAGAGGTGTGTGTGGCCAGCTCAGCCCACCAGGGGGCGGGGCTGGCTGGCATGTGGTGCTGGGGGATTGAACCGCGGTCCCTGATGCCTT